TGGTTCTTAGAGTGTTTATGTGCTTTTTGCCTGCATATATGTCTGTATGCCACTTGTGGGCCTGGTGCCTGTGGAAGCCGTAAGGTTATTTGGTTCCCTGGAACTAGAGTTACAGAGAACTGTGAACTGCCATTTAGGTGCTGGGAATCAAACCCAGACTTCTGAAAGCAGCCAGTGTTCTTCAGTCTACAGCCCTAGCAAATAAGATTCTCATGTTTTTCCACCATTACTCATGATGGACATAAAGGATCCTCCTACCACAGCTTCTCAAAACGCTAGGATTTTATAGGCATTAGCCACTACTACTGAAGGATTTTCTCATGTTGAGCCATTCATTCATCTACTAAGTTACATGCTGAGTGTCTCCATCTGTTGGGCACTGCCACACAGACTATGGGGGAAACAAACATCTCCCACTTTCCTGAAGTTCTAGTGGTGAGCTGGGCTGGAGAGATGGCTCAATAGTTAAGAGCAAAGATCTGGATTCAATTCTCAGCTCCACATGATGGCTTGAAACTGTAAGTCCATTTCCAGGGGATCCAACGCTATCTCCTCTCACCTCCATGGGCACCAGGCACGCAAATGCGCACAAACACACAAAGACAAAACATTCATACACATTAGAAAATTCTAGCTAGGTAAGCAGACATTATCCAACAGTTAACACAGGTCACAGTTAACAGGTCACATAAAGTGTCGGGGGGGGGGGGGCAGAATATAGCAGTTGGGAAAGTGGGACAGCTGCTTGTGGTGGCATATCTTTGTGAGCTGAAGGCCAGCTTGGTCTACATAGTGAGTGACAGATCAAATCATAACTACATAGTGAGACCCTGTCTCAGAGATTGTCTTACTGTAGTTACATTTGAAATCTAAGAAAGCCCAGGCTAAACTGAAAGACCTGCAAACACAAAGGTCCACAGAGTAAAACTTCTGATTTTTTTTTTTTTTGGGGGGGGGCCTCAGTTTTGTTTTGAGCCATGTAGTCCTGGCTACGTATTAGCTCATGGCAATTTCATGATGTATCCCTGGCTGGTTTGGAACTTTCTATATAGACCAGGATAACTGGCAGTTCTGTCTGCCTCTGTGTCTGCCTCTCCAATGCTGGGATTAAAAGGTGTATACCACCACGTCGTTAAGACTAAAAAATTGGGCTGGAGAGATGGCTCAGAGGTTAAGAGCACCGGCTACTCTTCCAGAGGTCCGGAGTTCAATTCCCATCAACCACATGATAGCTCACAATCATCTATAATGAGGTCTAGTGCCCTCTTCTGGTGTGCAGACATACATGCAGGCAGAACACTATACATAATAAATAAAAAATAATTTAAAGACTAAAAAATTTTAATATTTATGTGACTGCCACAGGACACAGGTGGAGGTCAGGGTACAAAGTGGGAGTGTCATTTTTCTCCTACCATGGAAATCCCAAGGATCAAACTCAGGGCCTCAGCTTAATGGCCATATAAATTCCCAGGTAAAATAATTCATATAAGCTCACAACAGTAAGGTTAAATATGGGAGTACAAATTTCCACATGAAGTTTTTTTAAGGCAAGGAAGTGCATACACCTGTAATGCCCCGAACCTAGTATGTAAACACAAAAGGATCAAGAGCTCCAGGCAAGCCGGGGAGACTGCTCAGTGGTCAGAGCACTTGCTGTTCTTGTACTGGATCTAGATTCCTTTCCCATATTATAATCTGCAACTCCAGTTCCAGGGGAGCTAATACCCTCTTTTGTCAGCAGGCACCCAGACATTTGGTACATAAAGTAACACAGGCACACTCACAAAGTATTAACAATTTAATAGTTTCAGGTGATCCCTGGCTACAAGAGGGTTCAAGGACTGGTGTAATTGAAACTATATCTGGAAAAAAAATTTTTTATAAACCAACTAATTGCTAAGAAACAGAATGTATTGGTTGAGATGGCACACACCCTTAATCCTAGCTATTGTTAGCTCAGGCGGAATGACTAATAGCTCAAAATATCATAGAGATATTTTTTTCTGTAAAAAAAAAAAAAAAGACAATGAACCTGCAAAGAGTAAAGCACATACTGAGTTTCTGGCCAGCCTGGGCTGCAAGCAAACAGAATTTTTCAGTGTAGAAACAAAATGCAATCTTGTTTACAGAAAATGCATTATGTCCCAACCTTGACTGTCCACATAAAACCTAAGAAGTGACAGGTGAATAGGATGGTATCTTTACCAGTGAGTGCTCCCAGTCCTTATGGATTCAGCTGAGACATCCTCTACAAACAACTGAGAAAAGCAATTATGAAACAAAACATGAAAAAATCGCAAAGAGATAAAGTACAGGAGAGATGGAGTAAGCTAATCTTTACCCACAATAGAAATCAATAATGAAGCGTTACCTAAGTATATTCAGAAACCAACGGTTCAGGGTGTTCTTAGGTTTTGTGGCCGGGCACGGATTTTCCTATTTTAACTTCAGTAAGAGTCCTAAAGTGGAGGTGCTGTGGTGGCCCACACCTTTAATCCTGGCACTCAGAAGCCACAGGCAGGCAGTTTGAGGCCTGTCTCATCTACAGAACCACTGACAGGGCAGCCAGGGCTAGAGAAACCCTGACACCACCCACCCCCCCCCACACACACACAGGCCTAACGAGGTCTGTATATGATCTCTAATAGTACAATTGTCTTTTTCCTTTTACAGTTTCAATGTTTACAGTAATTATTCACCCAATTGACATCTGTCCTCTGTTGAATCCAAAAGATCCTGACCAAAAGGATACCATGATTCATTCAGGTTTAAAATCCTACAAATAAAGAACTCTTGTATTATCTAGGCAAAAAATGAGATCAGTTAACTAATGGGCCACTGAATTGCATCCCACAATTAAGTGCCTTTGGATACGTATGGGTTTCAGAAATGTTGTAAGATCTGGTAGCAGAGGTATGTAATTTGTTACTGGGGGTGGGCGTCTGAACATGCCAAATTCTAAGTTTTAGAACAGCCTGGACCTTTTAAGATTTAGTCTGGGGGTTGGGAATTTAGCTCAGTGGTAGAGCACTTGCCTAGCAAGCGCAAGGCCCTGGGTTAGATCTTCAGCTCTCTCCCCCCGCCCCCCGCAAAGATTTAGTGAGGACTGGAGAGATAGTTGTGTGCTCCCAAAGAGGGCTGGCTGGTGTTCAATTTCCAGCACCCACGTGGTAGCTTACAACAATCTGTAACTCCAGGCCAAGGGTCTGACACCCTCTTCTGGCCTCTGTGGGAACCAGTCATGCATGTGGTACAAAGAAAAAGTATCCACACACACACACACACACACACAGATACAATATTATTTAATTAACTTATTTAGGTTATTTTGAGACAAGGTTTCCAAGTAGCCCTGTTTGTCCTGGATCTTGCCCAGTAGACTAAGGCTCCCTTCAAACTCAAGATCTGCCTGGCTCTCCCTCCCCACGTGCTGGGATTAAGGGTGTGCAAAGTACAAGCGGCACTGCTAGGCCTAAGGTAGGATACATGAAACAATGATTAAGTAACCACTGTAATCAAATTACTTTAATCGTTGCTAAGGCTTAGGGATCTATCCAGTTATCTAAAATGTGGCACATGTGGAAAGAGAAAGGTATCACAATATAGAAATTATAGAAGATGAAAGAATGGAATTTATGCTCAGCTTGGTGCCTACCTTCAATCCAAACACTGGGGAGATAAGAGGCAGGAGGATTCTGGGAATTCCAGGTGAAAAGGGTCTACATAGCAAGTTCCTAAAAGCCAGGGACAGAGATCCCACTCAGTGGGATTCAACTACAATGCTTTAAGTATATACCCAAGTCCAACAGTCTCATGTGTGTACATGCGCACTAGGGTTGGAGAAGAATACACTATGTAAACTAATGCTCCTGAGCCAGGAGACACAAAGTATCACATACACTATTATTTGTGTGGGAAATTTTTATTTTATCACAAAGTTCCAGTGTTAGTAAATTAAAGGCTAGCATATAATTCACCTTTAGTGAACTTACATAAAAAATGACATTGGTCAAGATTTCTGTTCATGCACCATGTAATCATACACAGGCTAGAAAATCTATTCTTCCTTTTGGTGCTTTGCTCAAGATCCTCCACATAATCATATTATATCCCCCAAATGATTTGCTCTTCATTTTCTCCAAGTCCAACTTGACACTTGAGACTAAAGAAAAGCAGACCCATTTCTGTAACTTTTCAGAAAACAATGATATAAAGAAATGACTTACTTCCCAGAAACAATCATCTTTTCCATGGTATTCAACACTTCACTTTAGCCCGTTATCCTTCTGTTACTAACCCAACACCAGAGGGTGGTGAAATGGCTTCCCACAACCCACATTGGAACAAACTCCACGGCTGTCCTCTGGTGTGCCTAGGATAGTTTACAATGTAACAGAGTGACGTGGTGGGTGTGGGGGAGGACACCCACATTAAAAAAAGGGGGGGGGGGAAGCCCCCTCTTCCAGCAAATTCCAGTACTGCCCCGTAACTTATAAAGCACTGGCTAAGGGATGCAGACAGCTCAGCAGTTAAAGAGACACTCCTTTTGCAGGAGGACCTAAGTTCAGTCAGTTCTCAGGACCCACACCAGATGGGTTACAAGTGCCTGAAGCTCCAGCTCTAAGAATCAATCCTCTTTCAGCTTCAAAAGAAAGACTGCATGTGGATGCACCAGACACATAGATTAAAAAAATAATAACAAAAAAATTGTGCACCAGAAATTACACAGTGGTTCTCTCCCCTTTGCCACATTTTGCTTATTTTTAAATGGAAATGAAAAACAGAAGGTTTTAAGTAAACTCCAAGTCAATGTTGTATTGTTAGAATACATATAAGCAAACTGTCTTTAAGGTAATTACAATAGTCATGTATTGACACCTCAAGGAAAAGGTTTTAAACATAAAAGTAGCATCACTTAAATTTCTATATCAAAAAATAAAAACTACCACCAACAACAAAAAACACAAAAACAAACAAAAAGAAATCAGACAAATGAGTAATGTGTGTTTCAGTTTAATCATTTTGAGTACACATATTTGGAGCAAACATTAAATATACATATAAAGTTCCTAGACTGATTCAGGAATTTCTGTTCTCTTCTAATTGTCTTGGAGTACAGTTTGGCAACTCACCCTTACCACTACATGCATTTGAAGTTACATACTTACCAACTGTCAGTCTGCTTATCCATGCTAGGAAAGGACAGAGTTCCTTAGAAATTTATTTCACTTTAAATCTTAAAGACACAAATTCAGACTCAAGACTTTGTTGAGAGCTCATCTAGAATACATTACCATACACACCTACATCATGAATTCCAGATTTTAGAAAACTAATATTGTTTATACTAAAAGCAACAGGATCGACTTTATTGATTCACAAAGGTCATAGCAGAAACGGAATGTATATATAAATATACTGACATTATCTAGAATGTGGCCAAAAACAAGAGGGAAAGAAATCCTTCTGTCACAGGCTAATGACTAAACAAGACAGTAATAAATGGATTTGTGGGCTAATTTTCACAGGTAAACATATGCTAGAAATCAGTATTTGTACCCCAAGTTTTCCATGCAGGGTTAGAATGATTAAAACTGCTCAAGAACAGAACACAATTCTATTATTTCATTCACCTATGCAGTGAGAAACAAGATCACTGGGGAAAAAAAAAAGTACTGTGTTAAAAAAAAGGGAGTGGGATTTGTTTTTTTTTAAAAAGATGTATTTCTTAATTATGTGCATGTGTATGTGCTCATGAGCACGTATGTCCAAGATCCTCATGGAACTAAGTGGTTGTGAGTCACCTGATACGGATAATGGGAACTGAGCTTAGGTCCACTGCCAGCATGACATGTTTTTTCTTTTTCTTTTTTTAGAGAGAAGGTTTCTCTACACAGCCCTGGCTGTCCTTGAACTCCTGGAGATCCACTTGCCTCTCCCTTCTCAAGTGATAGGATTAAAGGTGTATACCACCACAAACTGGAGTTATGGCATGGCCTTAAACTGTTGAGCCATCTCTCCTGTCCCTAGATTTTAATCTATAATTTTAAGTAAAACAATCATTTCTCCTCAGCAAAGGAAATAATCTGTGTTCAACATTTTTGGGCATATGATCCTTTAGGAAAATGAGAGGGGTGGCTGAACCCAAATAGGGCACATAGGGAAATGTCAATGGTCTAAGGATCTGATCCAATTACTACCCAAGCTGTGAAAATTCTGACTGCTCTCTTCTTTGATCACTGTCATGTTTCAGTTAGGCTAAAAAAATAAAGCCATGATATGAAAATTATAAAGCAGTACTCACCAGAAAGGCGGCTCTAAAGAGATAAGGAAAACCATTTCCACTGTATCTACGCCATTCTTAGATTAAACTGTGAAAGGCAATCAAACTTAAGCCCTCAGGCATTTTACAATCAAATACAAAGTGGGAAAAAATTCACAATATATTTTTACTACTGGCTGTTTAAAATTTTAAACAAATCATATTGGTCCTGAATAAAATACTAATGATCCAACTGAAAAATGACTAATCACCATCCAACTTACTTTTACTTTCACTGGTTAAATCTTAAGTATATGGCTTCCTCATTAAACTCCAAGAATTACGTAAGAATTTGACTTTTATTTTAAGTCAGGGAATCATTACACAGCCCAGCCTGGCCTTAAAATCACGCCATTTCTACCTCAGCCTGCAGAGTTCTGGGATTAAAGCATACACAATTGTGCAGGGATCTGGGTGAGCAATGAGCTTCCATGTCAGTGATGAACCCACATGGTCCATTAATGTAATTTATAGCTTACAGAGACAAATTATTTATAAGTATTACTACATTTAAAACAGTATAAGTAAAACTCCCTAGCTTATAATTGTACACCATTTTTCCACTGCTATAGTTGAGGAAATCTGTCTTATGTTGATTCACACTGTAGAAAGTAAAGGTTGACTGAAAAACACCATGGAGTAGCTTAATCAAGGACCCTGGACATGAAGCCGTGGACTACATGGACTGTGTAAATAAAGTATTTCCCCTCTCCCTTCTGTCTAAAAGGCATCTACAAAGGTTCAAGAACCACCAGATAATAAAAGAGCAGCATTACACCTTTATTATAACTCGGGTCAGCAAGTCTAGAGCTACTCACTCCGGTCCAAGAACTGAGTGTTTGAGAATGTCCAATGGATCTATTATTTATACTCACATTTAAGAAACTGCACAGCAGTTTTTTTCCTCCTTATGTGCGTTAAATGAGTATGTTGGGGGTGGGGGTGGGGTAAAAAAAAAAAAAAGGAACATCAGGTACTTACAGATTAAACTAACCTGTACTGGCAGGGCTGTGGGATTTTTCTTCTCTACCAGTAAGTAGCAAATGCTGAAATTCTGCTGCTAGTTAACAAAAACACAAATTGTATTAAACTGAGGAGTTCAACCCATACTTTAAAAAGTCAATGTGCATTTAATTTCCTCAGAGCCTGATAGTACATTTTAAAAGTTTGCCTAAATCTAACAAAATTTACATTGGCTACTGAAATTGAGTGATAATGAACTAGAACACTGAAGTATCTCCTGGACATGCTTTAATGTCCAATCAATAATGTATTCTATGTGTGAAGTATGCTGGAAATTTTGGTTGCCCTAAAAGGGGGCATATATTTAAATGTGATAACCTTTAAATTTCAATTAGCATGTAGACAAATCTTACAGCAATTTCAGCTAACTTTTAATTTTCGTAAGACTTTTTTTTAAATCTCCAATTTTTAAAAAAGGGGACTATAAATTTTGTTACTTCTCCACGTGTATCAACCAGCTAGCAAATAAAGGGGAGTTCACTCTAAATAGATGCCTTGTTTCTGATTCAAATTGTAAGAACTGTAATCATTCTTCGCTCGGTCAACTTGGGCAATTAAACAACCCTAGAAAAGATAGTAGAAATGGTATTTTCCAACGGGATTAGCAGACTATCTTAATAAAGTGTCAATGATCTTCACCAAAATAAAAGGGTAAAATTTCAAAGTAACAAAAAGCAGCAGAAATAGTTATTGATAATACTATTTAAGGTTCTTAAATGTAAACCCACCATACAATGGTTTCTTTCCAACATAATCAGTATCAATTAATGAATATTATATTGGGGAAACAGGTCTTCATTCTTCTTTTTCATTTCTTTTTGGTGCTGGGGAATGAATCCAGGGCTTCATGCATGCTTAACACGCACTCTGCCACTGGGCTACCTCCAGCTTCATTCTTCATTTTTAGTCAAGTAGGGTAATCAACAAATTTCGTTACCAATCCCTCAAATTTAACAAATGGTGAAGACATAGATTTTTAAACATAATAAAAGTTCAAAAGATAACACACATTTACAAGTTCCCAGATACTGTAACAATGTCAGAGGACTTAGAAAATGCCACACAGTAAGTTACTAAAACTGCCCTATAATCTTAAAAATCATAGCAACATTAAAAATAATGGTTGGAGCCTAATTAATCCTTTAAGGCAGTGTACACACATTTATCCTCTCTGCAGTGACTCTATTCACAATGACAGCACACACAAAAACATATTGTCATATTCAGCCTCAAGAGCCTAATCAAAGTTAACACCCACGGAGTTTTACTTACACGGTATTCAATGTATCTAACTTACTTAAACAAAAATAGTTGAAATTGGCTTTAATGAAAACTAAATTTTAGGCTTTGTATCTTTATTCTGGTAGACTATATTTTTCTTACTAAAATATATTTTCCCCTGGAAATGAAAGTGAGCAGATTTTAGAGGAAATTAATTCATATCATTCAAACTAATTTCATTTTAAATCGTTGTCCAGAAGTGGAGGTCAAAGTATCTTTTGAATAGCAAATATTAAAGTGAGAATGAACAGCATTTAGGAGAAAAAATATTGCTTATTCAAAACAATTTTCTTAGCTTTACTGAAATAAAAAATTTTTAGGATACCATCTCATTATGTAGAACTGGATGGTCTGAAGTTACACACAGGCAGACCAGGCAGAAACTGAACTCAGACCCACCAGCTTCTACACTTCGTTTTAGAATAAAGGTGTGCAGTACCACACCCAGAGGAAAAAATTGTGACAGGGTCTTACTCTAACACTGGCTGGCCTCCAACTTGCAGAACTATCCCAGTCTCATCTCATCCCCCAAAATACCAAAATTATATATGTGCCACCACACCTGGCCTTTAAATAAAAATTTAAGAGTCTTTTATCTCCCAACAAAATTGTCAGGTAACATTAAAAGGAATAAACAAACAAAAAAACAAACAAAACCTTGAAAGTTCAACATAAGGAAACCACTCGGTAAGCGCTGGACTTCATTTTCTTGCCAGTTTAAATCCAACCTTTCTCTTTCCTATGACTTTACCTGAATAACACAACAGTGGTCTATTGAGAATGTCTAAGAGCTTAAGATACTGGTTTTGAAAATTCAGTATTATTCTAATTCAGACATCTACCATATGTGCCTCTATATACATTGTTAAAGCGCTCATTTATTTTACAAAGAATTACCACAGAGAAATGATAAGATACTATAAAAACAAGATTATTAAAATGACTTTATGACAAAAAAAACCAAAATATTAAGAAAGGTTAAAAAGAAACCCTCAATTTCATTCATGAAAAGCTAATATAGAGAACAGGGGAATATTTCCTCAATAAAGTTTTCTCATATATTCCAGTCACTTCACTCAATCTCCTTTGGGAGGAATTTCCCAAAAGTGACAAGAAAATTAGTTTCATTTTTTAATACACAATTTCAGTATTACATAGGTAAATATTACCTTTAAAAATGTCTATCTGATTTATTAAGGGTCCATACGTAGTAAATTCTAACCAATACAGATGTTGTACAAATCCCACATTCAGAAGCTTACTCAAACTGTATCTCACTAAAGTGAAGTCAGCATTATTCATCAAGTTTTACTAGTAGGCTCCATAGAGACCTAAAACTACTGGTTCTCTGGGTCACTAAACTACAAAGAGACACCAGAGGACATTATCAACCCCAATCCACCCTGACAGGGTCTACACTGTAGCCCAGGCTGACCTCACACTCACAGCAGTCTTCCTACCTCAAATTTCCAACTGTTAGGAATACAGGCCTAAACTACTATGCCAAGCTCAAAGAACATCTTTGATTAGGAATCTATTAAATCTCTCCACCAGTCCTATTATTGAAGTAAATAACATTTTAATTTTAACTTAGAACTGGGTCAGGTACTTTCAATTCAATATACTTGAGAGGGGTGGACACAAGATAAAACTATCTCCAATCACAGTTGTTAAATGGTGGTGGGAATGAAATCCAGGGCCTTTACCATATTAGATAAGCAAATACCCTATGATTAAATTATAGTGAAATCCCTATAATAAATCTGTCTGTAATTTACTAAAAGTTATAAAAGATTTCAGTGGAACATTGTCATGGAAAAACTAGTTCTTAAAAGTATTAAATCTAGCCAGGTGTGGTGGTGCAAGCAAGGACAGATCTGTGAGTTTGAAGCGAGCCTGGTAAACAGTGGAATTCTAGACAGCCAAGGCTACACAGAGAAACCCCATCCCCAAAACAACAATAACAGTAACAAACAAACAAAAAAAAACCCACAAAACAACAAAAAAGACTATAAAATCTGTTTCTAAGGGCTGGAGAGATAGCTCAGAGGTTAAGAGCACTGGCTGCTCATCCAGAGGTCCTGAGTTCAATTCCCATAAACCATATGGTGGCTCACAACCATCTATAAATGAGATCTGGTGTCCTCTTCTGGCATACAGACAGAACACTGTATATATAATAAGACATTTTAAAAAAAACTGTTTCTAGTCTAATGTAAGGAATAAACAAATTAGAAGTTACATTCTGCCATCCCCAACATACAATTTTTGAACACCATAATCAAAGCAAATTCTAATTGAAAACAAATTGGATATACTACTGGTGTGTGCATATTATACAAAGCACTGTTCAGTAAAAGCTGAAAATTATCTTCCAAAAAATCATTCCAAAACCAGTTCAATACTAAACATGACCCGATTTCAATTTGGCTGCCTGAAAATTAGTTATCTATCCATTGAGACATGAAATACCCAACCCCTTTTATAATACCACACCTGTAGTCTACACCCATACATACATACCACACAAACACAGACAAATCACCTTTCCACTCATTACAGGGCTCTACATTAACATTTGCTCTAGTGTGGTGAGATTTGAGAAAAGATCATAAGCATTTCTAGATGACCTAACCACCCTGATGTTCAATATAAGCTTGGGATTTAGAACAAACCAGTATCCTGTGGTATTTCAAATAATTAAGCTTATCCTTGAGGTTAAATTTAAGTTTGAGCAGAAAACAACCAGTATTATTTTCCTAGGGGTCAAAGTAAAAATTTGGAACATTTCATGCCTCCAAATCAAGAATGTAAAATGATCAATTTATTAAGGTTCATAAAGCTTTAGATATTAAATAACAAAACAATATTTATGTTGATTAACACCACAGTCAAACGTGAATATTAATATAGAGCCTTCTCTGCCAAAGGAATATAAAAATCCTAAGTTTAATTAAATTTAGGGGCCTTCACCAAACTTGCTGCAAGTTTGGGGACATAAATATCCAACAGCCATAAAGCTGTGAAAGCCCCTGTAAGTAATAAAATAAATCCCACTTGCCTCAGACTGAACAGGGCAACACTGAGACTCAGCCTCAGCCTGTCCTATGGCAGGGCTATAGGAAGAAGAAAATTTTAATTTTAGAAAAACATCACCCAATTAATTAAAAAGACATGCATCAAAATGTAGTCCCAATGATCAAGCAAGCAACAGAAAAAGCAGCTTTTTGTATACAATTGCATTCTGAGCCCAAAACTTATTTGAGATTTCTACAAGTAATTCATTAAACTGAGTTTAAATTCAATATGTAACCTGATCAGTAAAACAGGTATTCTCCCCCTAACAAATGGTATGAAATTACTACAATATTAAGGAGTCAAATTAAGTGGTAACTCCAGCAGACACTGAAAAGTGGGCCCTCATCTGTTGGTCTTTTCACTATCAGTGGCAAAATATAGAATAGAAACTAGTGCCAGACAGTTTTGTTTTAATTGATTCACAGTGGATGGAAGGCAGACCCAAAGCTGACAGGTGCTTCCTTAAATGTTCTTATCAGTGTTCACAGGAACATACCAAATAACTAAAAGCAGTCTTTTGTGAAGAGAGCTGAAATTCACTTTTAATGGCATTATTTAAAGGTAAATCATTTCAATTTGCTACACTTGTGGTTTAATGACACTATGGACCCCAGAAGCAATTAGGTAAAATGTATTTTTCTAGAAGCTTAATTATCCTTGATGCATGCGAAAATTACACTTTCAACAACATACTAAATGTATACCACTCCTGAGCCACATACAGCTAAAAACACAGGACAGATTATATGTAATTAAATGTTATGCATAACACAAAAATCTTCGTACGATTATTTTACTTAAGTTGTAGACTTCAGAGAACAATAAACCCTGATATATTGTTCTTCTTTGAATCAAATGCAAGTGTAAAAATTTGTATAAATTTTGTTGTTCTATCAATACTTCAGTTTTCTGATAATCCAATACATTAAATTCTTCCAAAGTATTTTGTTTTAGAAGAAAGTATTTTTTATTTAATCTAAATTTAACCTTGTCATCTTTTTTTAACCTTTAATATTCTCAATACAGTGTTTTCTCTGGCAGTATAAAATATATGCTGTCAAACCTAAGAAATATATAGAGGTTCCAAAACTTTAGACTCACGGGTATTCAGATGAAAGGACATATTATATAACTTAGCTGCTGACAGAATAATGCATCTCTGGTAATATATGGATTTTTTGTTACACACTGTAACTTTCTGCACCTCAACAGTAACTACAGGAAAGGCAGCAAAAAATGAATCAGTGCAGAAATATGAGACTGAAAATGGCATTTAACTTTCAAATAATTTGTAACATTTCGTTCCACAGAGTGACTTTTACCTGTTAACTTTCCTGTGTGATAAGTCAAATATTTTCAACATATTCCTACAAAATTATAACCATTTTTTGTCATCACATCTATATAATACCTTCACAGAAATTACTAATGACTATTAGCTTTTTCTCAGAAGTTTTAACAACATATTTAGAATAAATCAAATCAATTTGCATTCACTATATGGGTAATTACTCTGTGTAGATTCTTAAAACATTCCATAAACCCACCCAAGCACACACACACACCAAAAAGATGGGGGGAAAAGTCAACAAAATCAGTAAGAGCTACTATGAGACTCACAAGACAAAATCCCCAACAGCAGTCACCCCCTAAAATAAAATTACCTATATATAGGGACACAACAACATTCCAAATTTCCAAGGATCAGGCTCAATCACCTCGCTTTAGCAACAGAGGGCACCTCCCAAATCCCAAGTAACAAAACCTCCAAGGAGGATAATAAAAATTTGCTAAGCATTTGTTAACCATCCCAATACCATGATAGAGGCACATTTAAAGTTAACATATATCGATCCATTAACACAAGAAGCATGCACCTAAGCTTCTAGAAGTTTGGCCCTGGAAAGCTGCTGAGGTCCATAAAGTACTCAACTAAAGTCTTGTATCAATGAAAATGAATGGGTCTGGCACTAGGCTCTAAACAACCTTAGTGAGAAGTTTTGAAGTTTATATTTTAAATTTCAGGGACATCTGATACCAAAGGATGTGAAACAATGACACATAAAGACTTCATACCCATTATGTAATGATTCATGTGTCTTAAGAGTTTGTCAACGGAAACATTAACAAAAGCAATTCTATATATACTGTTAAAACATGCAGCTAAGATAAAAAATCTACAACTTAAAGAATCCAATCATGTATCAAAACCATATTGGTAATTGAATTTTATTATGTGGACATCTACTGTGGCATGCATCTGTACAAACCTTTCAGTCAGTGGTCCACAGCTGGGTTATGAATAAAAAGGCATAAATTTTTTCTTCATTTTATTACAATAAAGTTTAACAGTACAGAAAAGTCACATGACCTCAGTGGGCCAGATTTCTTAAACCCTGCAACAGAGGAACTCTCTAAATACATTAAATATTGTTACACATTCAGACTTCCAATGTACAAGTACTTGGAAACAGTTACAGCCCTCACCAAGCTAGGTTGGGGACATGAAGTCCAACAGCATTGAAAATGCTGTGAAGGCATAACTTTACAAATAGCAATGTAAGCTTACAGAACTTGCCTTTATTTAAGATGGTATGTTCATGTAATTCCAGCGCCTTCACAATTTAACGAATCAAATTTACTATACTTCACTTCTAAAAACCTAGATGAAACATGAAAAAGAAGCCATACAGTATAAATTGCAACTTCAGGAAAAGTTCCTGTTTTATTATTCCAAATAATTTCTCCCAAGTCAAATAATGTCCAATAGTTCCTGGTATGTGGGAAGATAATGTTTGTTAAAGTCACAATGAAGCCTTATAGACGGAAGCTTGTCTATATAAAGAGCACAAGTTGAGAAAAGGTTTAATCTCCAAACCTATTAGACTTGATGAAGTAAGATCAGTAACGGCCACCTTGCGACATAACAGGAGGTCTCATTCCCATTGGAGGACGAGGAGGCCCACCTTGGTAAGGGGGCACCATTGGTGGTCCCTGTCCATAAGGTGGCATAGCGCCAGGAAGGTAACCTGGCATGCCTTGATGATGACCACCATACTGACCTAAAAAACAACGAAAATATACATAAGGTTGGTCTGTGTATTGTACTTTTAAATCAGTAAGTACATTTTGCAGAAAGCTAACATTTTCATATGTATATCTAAAATTCACCCCCCGCCCCAAAAAAGAAAAGAAAAAGAAAAAGTACCATGAGGTGGCATTGGAGGTCTCATTCCTTGCTGCTGTGGGATACCTGGCTGTGGTGGCATCATGCCCCCAATTGGTCCAACTGGTGGATTACCAATTGGAGTCTGTCCTGGTCGAGGAAGATTACGTTGATATTTTGGTAACTGTGCCCTTCTTTCTTCCTGAGAATAAAAATAATGTAAAATGTAAGACTGCAGAAGGTTCCTCAAGTAAAAAGACAATTATCCAAAATCCTGGTAATTTTAAATGTACAGTTACTCCCGAATAATTACTTATGATCCAACAAATCAGTGTTACTACTTAAAATCTCCATGCCTTAAAAGCTTACCTATTTATTTTTATATTAAAGCATGGCTAGCTAAGATCACAAAATTACAAATCTAAATATTAACTTTCTGTCAAATAAAATTAATTTATATAGGCTTTAAAGAGTCCATAGACTCTGACAGGCAACTCTTGTCAATGAGTACAAGCAAATTTATGTCTAAAATATGAATTATCCTTCTTTCTTTTCTTACTATTTTATGGTTTCTTAAGACAAATAAATGAAAACCTTTTAAGTTTTAAAATCAGGTAAGTCCATCTAAGTACAAATTAAAACCTCTCCAATAGGTAGGTTGCTACAATGCTATTTGACCAAACAATATTAGTAAAAACCTATAAACAACTTACCAGTGATATATCCTCATCTGGATGGATCAACTTACTGGTTGCACTGGTGGTTGTAAGTGTAGCAGGCTTACTTGTAATTGAAGCTGCTGGTTTTGCTGCAGTACTGTTTGTTGTACTAGTGGTTGACGCTGTAGACTGTGTATAAGCAGGGAATGTAGGCTTTGGGGGTTCTGTAGTTGTTGCAGGAGTACTATTTAAGGGCTTGAAATCTGTACCAACAGGTCCTTGGACAGCTGCCTGAGCCTGTAAAATAATGATCCTTTATCAATAAATGTCAATACCCAAAGTTGAGTATAACAGAAAATTTACATAGGTGGGGGAAAGAATAACATCAAATAGAGAAAACTTCAAATGAAACCCAAAACAAGTTAATGTATGATAAATGTTCCACAAATTTCAATCTGTAAGACTATCAAAAGATACTGGGTTGAAATTACTATATATCTCAGATCTGTCTTATACCTCCTCTCCATAAACTTAATTTACAATTCTTTGTATTAATTCTAGTTTGCTATATAGAATCATGAAATAGTATTTAATGCAACTGTTTTTACTGTCCTAAACTCTTTAATTCATCTTTCAAACAGCTCAAAAAATTGAAACTACAGAATACAAGGGTTTAGATAATAAACCCATTAGTAAGCATAAAAATAAGGAAACAGTAATCAGTTGTGACTCATCAATGTTACCACCTCTGCAAGTATTCTATAGATAGCAACACACTACCCTCCAAATTAGTAATGGCTAGAATACACTATAGACAAAAGGGTTAATGGCGCAGGCTCTAAAGTTAATATGAACATACATTACTTTCATAATACAAATGTTTAAGATGTCTAGGTCAACTTTAGAACCAAATGCAGAGTGCGGATCTCCTAAAGATGTGATGCATTAAACAGCATAAATTAAAAATAGCTTAATCATGCATCAGGATAACCATTGGCCACTACAGTTCATTTACTGCTCACATGCTTTTAACCCTTTAGAACCACAGAAGTTCAGAGTATTTTGTTGAGCTCATTAGTATGAATTCAAATTTTCAAACACCATTTGAGTTTTAGTATTTGTTTTACTTCTAAAAAACTAAATATATTTGTAAGATTTAGCTTTTATAAAGGGTCCAAAGGGTTAAGTTGTAAAGCCATTTTTAAAAATTTTAAACTGCAACTTCCTGCGTACTTGTGCTGTGCTAGGAAACAGAGCTTTAGAAGATGCAGACAGACTTTCTGAATTGGATGAAGCTGTACTTGAGCTTGTTACAGGTGTCCCCATCTGTAGCATAAAAGAAAGGAAACAATGAACCGTCTCCGGAACAAATGGGTAAAAATATGCCATGTGGCACTTCTTAGTGTAGATTGCATTTTTTGTAAATACAGATTGTAATGCAATCAAATGTCACTTAAAGAGGCAGAGAGTTAATGCATTTTCAATAAACAGTAGAAGTACATGCCTCAAAAAAATGATCTCTATATCAATACAACTAGTTAAACATAAGCTTCTTTTCTAAACTTACTGTTTTACATTGCAGTATTCCAAGAATAACATAAAATGAAAATAATGATGCACTCAGTTCTCTATGCAGATGCTCTACACAATAAAAGGAGTCTATAGATTCTGATAAAAGTTCAACATCTAGATAAATAAAATCTCTATCCATCACAAAAATAAGTTAATATGCTTTAAAGGCACTTAGAATTTAGCACCCAGAAACAGTAAGAAATTGAGTAAACATCTTAGAGATGATCTTAAAAAACAAAACATCTTTCTTTTAAATATATCTACTTAATTCTAAACAAAATGCACAAAAAATGTGACTATTATGTATCTAGCCTACTCACCTTCTGGAAAACTTTTGATGGAAGCAAGGATACTAAGAAATATAACTAGATTAAAAAAGCCATTGAATGATACTCTTCTAACTCAAGAGCAGCACTGTGATTTACCATGGTTCTCTTAAAATGAGCAGACACACCCAACCAAAACAAAATGTTTTGTTTTGTTTTAATTTTTCAAGACTGTGTTCCTGTATTATAGTACTGACTCTCCTGGAACTTGTTCTATAAACCAGGCTAGCCTTGAATGTCTGCCTCTGCCTCCAGAGTGCTGGGATTAAAGGCGTGGAACTACCTACCACTGCCAGGCCTGCTCAAGTCTTTAAGAGATTTCATCATTGGCTCTGACCTAATTTTACTCCCTTCAACAAGGCAGAGGACCAGAAACATAGTCTACTTAAGTTCTTAGAAATTCAACTTTCATTTCTAGCTACAGCTAAGAATAAAGAATATACAACTATGAATAACATGATTCCTTTCTGCTGTGAATAGAGGAAATCAAACTATAAACATAGCACATGATAAGACTACATTTTAATGTTACATATTAAATGTTTTACTTAAGAAATTGATCTGTGACAATGTCAAAGATATCAATAAACAAGCCCACTTTATCTTTAAACATAAATGCACTCCTTTTCAAGAATTTGACCGTACCTGTCCAGCACTGGGGAAAAGAGGCTTAGTAACTGGAGGCTGTGGAGCAGGTACTGCTGCTGCTGGTGCAGGCGGTCTATTAAGAATACCTGGCGCTGACACAGCCTGTGCTTGAGTCATTGGAGGAATTCCAGGACGTGGAACAGGAGGGGGCATACCTACACAAAAAGTTTGCAAAGAACTCAATCAATGGAACAGTTCAAACAAAAATAACTATGATTATGGCCTTTGTTCCTCCCAACAACCACACCTCTCAAACTGTCTCTTCTTTTACAACTTTAAACCCCAACTATAAACTTACTGGTGTCACTGTTTTAGCCAACTAACTTTTTTTTTTTTTGAGCTTTTGAGACAGGGTTTCTCTGTGTAGTAGCCCAGGTAGTCCTGGAACTTTCTCTGTAGACCAAGCTGGCCTCTGCCTCCTGAATGCTGGGATTAAAGGTCTGTCTACCATCATCCCCTTACTCTACTCCACCCCCACTGAACTGGAGTTAACTATGTATAGGCTAGTCTGGAACTCTAGGAATCTATGTCTGCTGGAATTAAAGTGCCAGGGTTAAGGCTACATGTAACCACACCCACTCCACTTAGCAAACTTCTTTCAACATGTAAGAGAATTAGAAACTTATAGGAATAAATGCTACCAGACACATTACAAAGGAAACTGTTAACATTTCATACCTGGTGGCATACCAGGCATCAGAGGTGGTATTCCAGGTCCAGGTGGCATCATTCCACCCATTGGCATCATTCTATTAAAAAGCAAAATTTAAGAAAAAAGTGAAAACAAAAAACATTAACAGTATAAACTACAAAATGTATTTTGGCAATTAGAAAACACTAGATAAAAAACTTGAGTATCTCAAGAACTGAAATCAATCAAGCCACAAAGATCTACCATATACTACAATATTCCTATTATAATCAACATTCTAAAACCAGAAACTCTTCAGTTTACCCGTAAACGCGTTTTTAAAAACAAAAACAACAACAACAAAAAAAAAAAACCGAAAAAACAAAAAACACTGGCCAAACAAGGTCTCTGAGATCCAAAAGTATTCTAAGAACATATACAGGAGGCCCCATCTTAACAAATGTGCAACTGAACACTTTTGTTCCACCTGAAAAATATGCACACCAAATAAATAGAGATATTTCTATTTGAGTTGTCCAATGTGGAGTAAAAATTTCTGTCTGAGCCGGGCGGTGGTGGCACATGCCTTTAATCCCAGCACTGGGTGGCAGAGGCAAGCAGATCTCTGTGAGTTCGAGGCCAGCCTGGGCTACAAAGCAAGATCCAGGACAGGCACCCAAACTACAAAGAGCAACACTGTCTCGGGAAAAAGAAAAAAGAAAAAGAAAAAGAAAGAGAAAAAAAATATAAAAATCTGTCTGGGAGGGACAAAGAAAAATCATCACCAATATAAACATATAAGCTCAGATTACAAAGAATTTTCCTTCCTAACACTAAACCATGACTTAAAAACATAACCCATATTTGTAGTTTCCCCCCTTTAAAAAAACAAACCAAAACAAAGCTCACCTTCAAAGATCGGCCAGTGTCCAATTTACTTCAAAACATTATATTACAGGTATATGAACTTGACTTATGGTTTGGTTTTGGTGCTGGGGATAAACCCAAGTGCCTGGGGCATGTTACACATGCACTCTAACACTGAACTATATTAGTCCCGTACTTCTATAATGTAAGATTTTTTTATCAGAAATGTAACTTCTATATTTAACTCCTAATTAGATGAAAATCTGATTACCTTCTATAACAAAGCAGATGGCAGATAATAGATTTCTAAATAGTACCTCTTATCTTGGGTCTTACTACTTAATAATAGCTTGAGAAAGCACCTGCACTTTAGAAAACAATTCTTTCCCTTTTTTGAACAGAATCTATGTAGCCAAGGCTAACCACTATGTACCTGCCAGGGTGGCTTTATACTAAAAAAGGGATATGCCTGTTTCTGCCTCCCAAATTCTGAGATTAAAAGCGTGGGCTAACATGCCTGGGAAAAAAATTATTTTAATGTGTCTATTTGCTTCGAAATGTTTTAATTTTCTACTTTGAAGAGACGTGTCAATTAGCTGACAAACTTAAACAGTTTTAGTGAGGAAGATTAGAAATTTAAGTCAACTGAATAGATATCATTAAACACACACACAAATGACATTATGATTATATTATACCTCCTGAATTACATTATGAATGAGATGCTTACATGTTTTCACCGCAAAATGACTGGGTGTATTTTCTCTGATGATGCAATCTGTGAAAATGTATGACAAAATCAAAATCTAACTGTGATTTTCAGAATACAGCTGGAAAGTGTATTGTACACCTTTCACATCCAACTCTAAAAGTGATGGGCAACACACAACTCAACTTCATTTTAGTTTCTGATGCTTTGGTAAATCATTTACAGTTTCCTTTTCACCAACTACAGAGCATCCTTGATAGTTCCAAAACTAAGACACTCAAAATCAATAACCAACACTTTAATCACATCAAATGCAACTGAAGCAGAGGGTTGTCCTACATTCATCCTAAAACCCAAAAATCTACTTTCCTCAGAGGCAAATACATTACTCACCCCTAACTAGTAAAGGTTTAAGATTTATAGAGCCCATTATCTTTAAGAAGCAAAAAATAAAAAGTAACAATTCATAGCATCCAAGTCAAAAAAGGCCCAAGCCCACAAACCAACTGGAAGTTTGCTTACCCAGGTGGCATGCCTGGCATAACTGGAGGCATGCCTGGCATCAGGGGAGGAACACCTGGCATCAATGGAGGTATGCCTACAAAGTGTTTCAGTAACAAAATTAGTATTGAAAATTAAGCTAGAGGAAGTAACACTTACATCATTACAAAGTCCTCAAATGAATTTTTAAGGAATCCATTACCTGGAGGCATTCCTGGTGCCCCAGGGACTGGCGGCAGTCCTGGCTGGGCCATTGGTGGGATATAACCTTGCTGAGGTTGAACAGGCTGTGGCTGGAAGGAAGTTGAGGCTGCGGATTCATCATCATCATATTCATCAGAATCATCTTGTTGCTTCTTTTTTTGACTCTCTGCAAAGAAAAGGTTTTAATTCATTTCACACATAAAAGGGAAAAAAATAACCTAAACAACTCTTTTTTTTTTTGCTTTTTTTCGAGACAGTGTTTCTCTGTGTAGTTTTGGTGCCTGTCCTGGATCTTGCTCTGTAGACCAGTCTGGCCTCGAACTCACTGGCTCCCAAGTACTGGGATTAGAGGTGTGAGCCACCACTGCCCGGCTAACTCAAAAAAAAAAATTTAAAGTACTATTGCCCACAACTTTAAACCCAGCACACAAGGCAGCTCACAGCCACAGGTAACTCCAGTTTCTGGGGATCAGACACAATGGATCACAGATATATCTGCAAGCAAAGCACCCAAACACATATTTAAAAAATATTAGAATTAGAAGCGGAGTGCAGTGGTGTACAGTTGTTATCATATCTACTGAGAACAGTAAGATGACTCAGCAGGTATAAAGGTACAAGCCAGGCAGTGTTCAGACCCCAGAACAACCTGCACAGTTGCCCTCTTATCTTCCACAAATACCATGACACATACAATAATAAAATATAAATTTAAATTAATTGTTGAAAATAGCAATACTTTTGGGGCTGGAGAGATGGCTCAGAGGTTAAGAGCACTGACTGCTCCTCCAGAGGTCCTGAGTTCAATTCCCAGCAACCATAGGGTGGCTCACAACCATCTGTAATGAGATCTGGTGCCCTCTTCTGGCCTGCAGATATACATGCAGGCAGAACACTGTATACATAATAAATAAATCTTTAAAAAAAATTTAAAAAAGAAAAGAAAATAGCAATACTTTTGATGTGAAGCTGTATTCTAACACATTGCCAACTTTACCTTGAGTTTTCTGTTCAAGAAGTCGCCGTCTTTCATCCATATCTTTCTCTGGAATACCTTCCATGCCGTATATTTCCAACTCTATGTCTGTTCTCCCAGGTATTGCATTTGGTACAGCATCTATGGTTTCTTTATGCACCTAAAACAACAACAACAAAAAAAAAAAAACTGTTAGATAAAAGTAATTCATGAAGGTCTTTTTTGAACTACAAATTACTCAAGGAGGGTGAGTTGGGGTGGAAGGCACGGGGCCGGGAAGGAGGGAAGGAGGAAAGGGAGAATCTGTGATTGGTATGTAAACTGAATAGAAAAATTTCTTCGGGCGGTGGTGGCGCACGCCTTTAATCCCAGCAGAGGCAGGCGGATCTCTGTGAGTTCGAGGCAAGCCTGGGCTACAAAGTGAGTTCCAGGAAAGGCGCAAAGCTACACAGAGAAACCCTGTCTCGAAAAACAAACAAAAAAAGAAAAGAAAAAGAAACATTTCTTAATGAAATATATATAAAGAACAACAGGGGAAAAAAAGAAATTACTCAGCCGGGCGGTGGTGGCGCACCCTTTAATCCCAGCACTCGGGAGGCAGAGCCAGGTGGATCTCTGTGAGTTCGAGGCCAGCCTGGGCTACCAAGTGAGTTCCAGGAAAAGGTGCAAAGCTACACAGAGAAACCCTGTCTCGAAAAACCAAAAAAAAAAAAAAAAAAAAAAAAAAAAAAAAAGAAATTACTCAAAAGACTACTTAGTAAAATAACTGATCTACTTTAAGCTTTCTGTATTCAAGTCCTACTTTTACCACTGGTTTTAAACACCTGTCATTTGACCTCTAAGCCTGAATTTACCTCATCTGTATAACAAGTAACTTCTAGGGCTTAAAAAAAAAAAAAACACCTTGTGATCTTCCTTTTTATTATTTAGCTATCTTGGGGGGTTTGCAATGCCATGTCACGTATATGGAGGTCAGAGTACAACTTGTGTGAACAGATTCTCTCCTACCACATGAATTCCAGGGATCAAGCTCAGGTCTCAGTCCAGTTTTCAGGCTTGAATGCAAGCACCTTTACCCACTGAGCCATATCAGACTCCCTGATGTAAGTTTTCTTGCTGAGAATACCTTAAAATTTTTAACTCCTCACTTTTTCTCAGACTTCACATCAAATTACCAGCTAAGGCTGTTCTGAAAGCACAGCCTCTTTCCTTTAATCCTCTAAGTCTAACTGGTCTCACTGTACTCCAGTCTATTTTCATTTTTTTAAAATAATTTATTTAATTTTAAGTCCTTTGGTGTGAGGGTGTCACATTCCCTGGAGCAGGAGGTGCCATATGGATGCTGGTTATGGAACCTGGGTCCTCTTCAAGAGCAGTCAGTGCTCTTAACCACTGAACCAACTCTCCAGCCCCCTCCACAGTCTATTTTCAACCTTCCAGACAGAATGGTCCTTTCTTTTTTTTTTTTTTTTTTTAAATCTTTTTTTGTAAAGATTTATTTATTATGTATACAGTGTTCTGCCTACATGCCAGAAGAGGGCGCCAGATCTCATTACAGATGGCTGTGAGCCACCATGTGGTTGCTGGGAATTGAACTCAGGACCTCTGGAAGAACAGCCAGTGCTCTTAACCGCTGAGCCATCTCTCCAGCCCAGAATGGTCCTTTCTTAACAAGTATAAAATGGGCCAAAGCTGTTGCTTAGTAGTGGTAGAACATGCGAAAGGAAACCTAAGATGTTAAACGCTCAGGGTTAGACTGTCAGCACAGTGCTACAGGTACATATAAATATCAAAAGCATGCTTTCAGTATTTAAATCCCTTTCATTCAGAATTAACAAACAAGCCAGATATTGGTAGCACATGCCTTTAATTCCAGAGCCAGGCAGATCTGAGTTCGAGGCCAGCCTGGTCTACATAGTGAGTTCCACAACAGCCAGGATTATACAGTGAAACCCTATCTCTCAAAAAAATAAACAAAAACAACTACTGCCCTTTCATTCATATAATATAAACTGAACTCTATGAGGGCTGTGCACCCAAATTTTTTTTAAAAAGTGTATAATACAATGACCTTCATAGGAATTTTCTGTGATTAACGGGAAATGTTCTATCCCTCCCCATCAATAGTCATCGACACCACATGTAGCTACAGAGCACAGAAAAAACATATGTGGAAAACTATTCTTTAACTTAGTATTCATTAAACATCTACATGAAACTAGGAGCTATTATAGCATACAGCCATAGGTCTAAGGTTCTAAAAGCCTTTGTTTTGAGGCTTTGAAACAAAGTTTCACCGTAGCCCAGGTATCAAATTCAAGAGCCTATTTCCTTAAGATTCTAAAGCACTATAATTACAACATACTACTCAAGCAAAGCATTCTGAAATCTGAGTCCTAAACCAGGAGGTGATGGTGCAAGCCTTTAAATCTCAGCACTCGGGAGGCAGACACAGATGGATCTCTGAGTTCAAGGCCAGCCCGATCAAGAGTTCCTGGACAGCCAGAGCTATTACAGAGAAACGTGTCTCCAAAAAAAAAAGGGGGGGGGGGGAGATTCCTAGTTATCCCACAAACTCACACACAATAAATGAATGAGGCTTAAGATGGTTCAGTGGTTAAGGACATATACTGTTCTTGTAGAGGACCAGACTTTAGCTTGCAGTACCTACATCTGAAGGCTCACCACTATAACTCCAGGCCTAGGGGATGACACCCTCTTCTGGCCTCCAAGGCCAACTGTACTGACAGGCACATATCAGATACAAACACAATATTAAAAATTAGTATTTTTAAATAAATTAAATGTAAAGATAATAGGAAAAGGATCTTTTTGTAGCATCCAGAGCCTCAAGCATACTAGGCAAAAAAAAAAAAAACTACATTAAACTACAACTCCAATCTTTATGTAAACTTATGACATTAGGATGCAAAACTACCAATTCCAAAGCTTTCATGATTCCACTGTGAAAAAACTCGAGAGGCTGGAGAACTCAGAAGTTAACAGTGCTTGCTCACCCTCCAGAGGACCCAATTTCAAATTTTGACATCTAAATAGGAGCTCAAAGCTGCCTGAAAATCCAGCCTCTGCAAGAACCCACACCAAACAGCACAAATCCAGACTTAATTTAAAAAAAAAAAAAAAAATCCTCATGAAATCTGGACATTACACAAAACAGTGCTTCCAAGTAGAATATAATGGTACATTTTAGATCTCCCAAGAAACTGATGTCTAAAAGAAATAAAGTCTAATTATCTTAGTGGTCAGAGAACAGATGTGGATTCTAGGTAGGTAGTTCAATGACAGAGCTTTTGCTTAGCACATGATATCTATTATTACCACCACCACCCAAAAAAGACAGAGAACAAATTTGAATTTTTAAAGATTTGGCTATTTACATAGTGTGATAAACAATAAAGATACACTTCCCAAAGACAAATTAAAGATTCTTCGTTGTGCGATTACCGATCACAAGGTGACAAAAACTAAACAGAAGAGAAATCCTTACCTGCATGCAATGAATAGCTAATCCAGGTCCCGTGTACAATTTCTTATGGCATATATGACATTTAAAATGCTTTGCTTTTTGGTGCTGTATAAGAATCTTCTCATCATCAAAATCTCTGTTACAATACCTAGTAAATAAGCATTAAGGTACAAAATACTGCACAGAAATGACCCCGATGCCAACAAAAACATCTATCAAGCCTATCACAGTTGTGTGGATTCCACCAACTTGCAAGCTAAGGCAACAGGAAACTTGAGCCCAGGAGAGTGGAACAACCTATGGATATTCCATCTAATGAACTCCAAAACAAAACCAGAAAGCCAGAAATGGTGGTACTTGTCTTTAATACCAGCACTCAGGTAGACAGAGGCAGACAAACCTTTGAATTTGAGGCCATCCTGGTCCACAATAGTGAGTTTCCAGACCAGTCAAGGGATACATACGGAGATCCTGAGATCAAAATAAATGATAAAACAAAAAAGCCTTTCATATAACGTGAGAATAGGGGCAACTTTAAAATGAAGTAACGAAAGACAGGTGGTGGTGGCGCAAACCTTTAATCCAAGTGTTTGGGAGAGGCAGGTTGATTTCTGTGATTTCATGACCAGCCTACACAGAGGGACCGTCTTGAAAAACCAAAATAAATAAATAAATAATACAAAAAGAACCAAGATGTGGCTTAATCTCAGCACCCAAGAGGCAAAGGCAGGCTGATCTCTTTGAGTTTGAGGCCAGCCTGATCTACAAAGTGAGGACCAGGACAGCCAGAGCTGTTATATAAACTGTCTGGAAAAAGCAGTGAGTCTGAGGTTAGCCTGGTCTACAGAGTGAAAGTCCATCTCAAAACCAAAAACCAGGGGCTGCAGAAAGGGCTGAGGGGTTAAGAGTATTGCTGCTCTTTCAGAGTACCCAGGTTCTATCCCCAACACCCACAAGGCAGCTCACAACTGTAATTACAGTTACTGGGTAAACACTGTTCTGGCCTCCAACAGCACCAGGTGTACATGCGTGCATGCATACATGCATACACATACACACATACACACACACAAAGCTAATAATAAAGAAGGGGACTTAATATATATATATAATTTAGTTTTAGTACTTAGAGATTACATGTCATGTACTCCTGGTCTGAGACTATTAAAACTGAGTCAGGACAGGTGGCACAAATCTGTAGGCAGTCTGTGGCACGAATATATCCAAACCTGGCAAGCCTGGTATGCATACTGATTGAAACCTTATCGCAAAAATAAAAAAAAAAACTTTTAGCCTGGCAAACCCCACGCCTTTGATTTCAAGGCCCGAGATGCAAAAGCGGGCAGATCTCTATGTGGTTGGGTGCCAGGTCAGACAGTGAAACTGTGTAGAAAAAATTTGTCAATGGACAAAGCAATTTCAAACCGGGCAGTGCTGACCCACGCTTTTAATCACCAGCACTCAGGAGGCAGAGCCAGGAGGATCTCTGCAAGTTTCAGGACAGCCAGGGCTACACAGAGAAACCCTGTCTCGAAAACAAACAAACAAACAAAAAGCAATTTCAAATCGGGTTGTGGTGGCCCACACCTTTAATCTCAGCACTTGGGAGGCAGAGGCAGGCGGATCTACAGAGGCAGCCTGGTATCTATGGAGCAAGTTTCAGGACAGCCAGAGAAAACGCCGGCTCCCCACTGCAAAAACTGAAAGGGGGGTGAGGGTGGGGATTTCACGAGAATTCATCAGATACACATTAGAATCAAAATTGGGAATTCATCAATATTTATATTCTAAGATCAACTTCACGGCAAAGGGCACATTCAACTAAACAATCCATAAAATGCCTTCCACTCCATATTAATTTACTCCATCAGGGAATGTAAACTCACGTATGTTTAATCCATAATACTAGGAGTTCTGACCTCACAAGATTTTTTCCTATGAGCGTTATTACAAAATTTGTGACCGATTTTTACCTACTTGCCGACTATTTTAATACAAATTATTTACATGTAATAGATAAAAATCAAGCTGAATGTAAAATACACGTTAACGCTTCCAGAAAACATGAGAAAAATGGCTTCCTTTCCCAACAGCTTTTTTTCCCAGTCCTACAAAACTGGGTAACAGATACTAGAAACTCCACCCAGTTAAGCGAAAGCTTCCTGAAGATTAAGGCGCCAGAGAGGGACGCGGAAATCAGCCCTCTGCCATGGGACGGGGGGGGGGGGGGGGGGGGGGGGGGCCCGCTGGGAACATTCACAATCCAGTTCTCTAGGGAGTCAATTAGCATATAACCCCAAACTCAAGTCCCTCTGTGGGATCCTCAACGAAACAACGGAGTCCTTCGGGGCGACTGCACTTGAGGAGGGGCTCCAGGCCCATCACTCACACCCAACAAGCTCCCCCTGAGTCACCGAGTCTAGCTCCACCACACGCCGGAGCCTTCCCGCCGTGGGCACCCCAATTTACAAGAAACCAGCCCAAATCCTAGCCCAGCCACCAAAGCCCGCGGGCCCGGCCGTGCCCCGTCACAGGCCTAACGCAGGCCTCTCAGAGACCCGAGTCCTCAACAAGCGACACCCACGCTCGGCCTTCACGCCAAGCCCACAAAGGATACCAGCACCACGGCTTCAGCTGCTTCTTCTTCTTGCGACCCATAACCGCGACTCTACAGACCAGGCAGAAAGGAGGCGAAAAGCAGCGGGGAAAACCAGAAGAAAAATCGCCCACTTCTCTGAACCAACCGCCACCGCCGCGTCCCGCAGGAAACAGACACAAAATGGCCGACACCCTCGTTCTCTCTCCACCTCCCGTCAGCCACCGCGGCGAGAGCTGGGGCGGGACACGTGACGCGGGGCCCCGCCCTTATGTGGGTGGAGACGCGCTGCGGCCATCTTAGAGGGTAAAGTGGTGCGGGCTCTCCGACTGTGCACGCTTAACCCTTAGTGTTGATCTCCGTGTGTGGGTCCTTCCACACGTACTCAAATTGAAGGGACGAAAAGGTTACCAGATTGTAAAAGATTACCTTAATTATACAAAAGATTGTGTAATTAAGAATAAGTTACAGATAAATAAGGAATAATTGGGACATGACCAATTTGGGTTTTTTGGTTTGTATGTCTTTTCAAGACAGGGTTTCTCGGTGTAACCTTGGCTGCCCTGGAACTTGCTGTATAGACCAAGCTGACCTTGAACTCACAGAGCCCCGGCTTCCTCGGCCTCCCAAATGCTGGGATTAAACAATTTGCTTTGTTACTGTTGTTTGTATTTTTGAGGTAGGGTCTCTCTACATAGCCTTGCCTGTCAAGGAATTCACTATGTAGACCAGGCTGGCCTCTAACTCGCAGAGATGCTCCTGCTTCTGCCTCTGCCTCTGCCTCAGAGAGCTCGGATTAAAGGCGTGCACCCTCTTCTGATCCAACCAATTTGTAAATTTTGTTTCAGTTGCCAGTGGGGGTGGGGTGGTAGCGGGGCTTATATGGTCAAAGACGTCATCGTTTTAGTGACAGTCAAGGAGACAGAATGGGTCAGTTCGGCCATAAAGATGAGGGAAATGCAAAGTGCTGCAGAATCTCAGTGGCAAGCAATTCAGCTTTGAAGATCATAGGAATGTCTAGAAAAATCCAAGAAGGTTCAATGCGGACAAGAAAGGTGGTGACATATCATTAACTTGGGGCCTTGTGTCTGTTGTCCCAGCAGTGAGAAGGCTGAGATAGAGGACACTATGAGTCCAAGAGCTGGAGGCCATCCTGGGCAACAAAACCTTACCTTGTCTCTAGGGGTTTGTGTTTGTTTGTTTGTTTGTTTTTAAATGCAGTGAGCCAAGCATAGTGGTACACACTGTTAGTCCCAGCACTTGGGAGGCTGAGGCAGGCAGATCTCCGAGTTCCTGGCCTGCCTGGTCTACATAGCAAGTCCCAGGATGGACAGGGCTATGTAGAGAGAAAAATGCTGTGTTTGAGGCTTTGAACCTGAAAGTAATAGGACAGGAAAAGTGCTGGTAACAAAAGATAATCCTGGAAAGACTGGCTGGCGAAAGTAAGTGGTAGAGATAGCTAAGAAGAACATAAAAAGTAGAATGTCATGCTGAAGTCTTTGGAAAACACAGAAGAGTTCTAAGACAAAGAATGATGACGGGGCATGGCATATCTGGGAATTTCAGGAGACTGAGGCTGGAGGATGCAGAATTAGAGGCCAGCTTCAGTCTCATAGGGAGTTGGAGACAGCCTGGGCTACATGAAACTGTTCATTAGAAAGTAATAAAAGACTCCGGACGGTGGTGGCACATGCCTTTAATCCCAGCACTCAGGAGACAGAGCAGGTGGATCTCTGTGAGTTCAAGTTCAGCCTGGTCTACAAAGCCAGTTCCAGGACAGCCAGAGCTGTTACACAGAGAAAACCTGTCTCGAAAAACCAATAACAATAGTTTAAAAAATGAAAGAAAAGATTTGGTGTAGTGGCTCATGACTATAATCCCAGGATTTGTAGGCTAAGGCAGGAAAGCTGCCCTGAGCCATGGGCTAGGCCTGAGCTACAATAATGAATTCCAAGCCAGCTTGGGATATTATGATGTGAAGCCCTATTACAAACAAAAGAGAAAAGAGTAAAAAGTGGTTTAGAGTCCAGCACTTCTCTTTATACACTTTTTGCTTTGTTTTGTTCTGTTTTCCAAGTCAGAGTTTCTCGGGCCCTGGCTTTCTTGGGACTTCCTCTGTAGACCAGGTTCACCTTGAACTCAGAGATCTGCTTACCTCAGTCTCCTAAGTACTGAAAGTAAAAGTATGCACCACCACACCCGGCTATTTGTGTTTATATGCTAACTGTACATTGGCCTAATAATTATATATATTATTAATTATATGTGTGTGTATGTGGGGATGTGGTGGTTTGAAAGAAAATGTCTTCCAAGTAGAGTGGCACTATTAGGAAGTGTGGCTTTGTTGCAGTAGATATGGCCTTGTTGAAGGAAGTGTGTCACTGTGGGGGTGGGCTTTGGGGTTTTCAGTGCTCAGGATACCACTGCCCAGTATCTCAGTTCATTTCCTGTTGCCTGCAAGATGTAGGACTCTCAGCTACTTCTACAGCACCATGTCTCCCTGCACATCACCATGTCCCACCATTGTGGTGGTATTATGTTCCCCAAAATATTGTGCACCCTGATAAACTTATCTGGAGTCAGAGACAGAACAGCCACTAGATACAAAGGCTAGAAAATGGTGGTACTCACACCTTTAATCCTAGCATTCCAGAGGCAGAAATCCACGTGTTTAAGGATACAGCCAAGCATGGTGACTCACGCCTTTAATCTCAGAAAGCCAGCCTTTAATCTCAGGGAGTGGTGGTAGAAAGCAGAAAGGTATATAAGGTGTGAGGACCAGAAACTAGAAGCATTTGGCTGGTTAAACATTTGGCTGGTTAAGCTTTTAGGTTTTGAGCAGCACAGTTCAGCTGAGAGCCATTCGGATATGAGGACACAGAGGCTTCCAGTCTGAGGAAACAAGACCAGCTGAGAAGTTGGCCAGGTGAGGTTAGCTGTGGCTTGTTCTGTCTCTCTGATCTTCCAGTGTTCACCCCAATACCTGGCTCAGGTTTGATTTTATTAATAAGACTCTTTAAGATTCCTGCTACACACTATGATGAAAATGGACTGAACATCTGAAACTTTAAGTCACCCCAGTTAAATGTTTTCCTTTATAGGAGTTGCCATGGTCGTGGTGTCTCTTCACAGCAACAGAAACCTTAACTAAGGCAGAGGGTAAGTGTAGATGCTCAAGGAGGCCAGAGGCATCTGATCTCTAAGATGATAACAGGTAGAGCTAGAAATAACAGGTAGTTGTAGACTGTCTGACCTGGGTTTTAGGCACCAAACTTGGGTCTTTTGCAAGAGCAATACATGCTCTTAACTGCTGAGCATTCCATCCCTAAAAACAAATTTATTTTGAGACAGGATTGCTCTGTGTAGCCCTGGATGTCCTGGAACTCACTCTGTAGACCTGGTGGCCTCAAATTCAGAGATCTACCTGTCTCTGCCTCCCAAGAGCTGAGATTAAAGGTGTAGGCCACCACCATGCCCAGCACATAAAAATTCTTTTTATAACTATCCTTTGAAGAATATAAGAAACTACATAGGATGGGGGTCTGGATCTAAACATACCCACCGAAAGCCAGTGATAAAAATGCAAGCCAGCCTCAGCCCATGAGGACACAGCAAGAAGATGTTATTCCAAGAAGACAGAGGGTCCTTTCCTGACACTAAACCTGCCTGTGCCCTGATCTGTAACCTCCCATCTTCCATTCAATTTTTATTTGTTCTTGGGTTTGCTTGTTTGTTGAGATTATGTAGCCCTGGCTGGCCTGAAACTCACTGTGTAGACCAGGATGTCCTTGAACTCAGAGATCCGCCTTTTATTTCTGATTTCATAAATGATCCAGTTTGTGGTACTTTGTTATAAAAGCCCTGACAGACTGAGACAAATGTTTCTCGCTGTAGTTGCTTTCCCTATGGACCTCTTTGGCCTGACTCTTCATGAATGAGGATCTTCCAGATCCTGGGCTCTCATCACTCCACTTTCTCCTGCCTTCTTTCTCTGACTTACTCTATCAGTAAGAGCAGTTCCCAACAGTTGCTAGTCTCTCTGTTGCCTTTCTTCCATCTATCAGATTTGTTACAAGTCACTCATATTAAAATCCATCTAATAAACTGTCTTAGGTAAGCCGCACTCTGCAATCTTACTGTGAATGATAGGGTGTGCTAGAGCCGTTCATTTTCCCTTTCAAACAACAAGCACTATCTGTGGTTCAAAGGGGAGTGCACAGATTAGAATACTAATGATTCACTGTGTAGAACATGTCCTACAGGATTATTGAAACACAAGTGAGACACTGTCTGCAAACAAAGAATAAAACAAGGGTTGGGGGTGTAACTCAGTGGAGAAGGCTTGCCTAGTATACTCAAGGATCTGGGTTCAATCCACACTACAAGAAAAAAAAAAAAGAATAGATTAACATATCTAGGTATGCTGATGCAATGGATTTTATCTGGCCTTGAATGGAAACAAAGTGCCAGGCATGGTAGGACACATTTGTTTTGGTTTGGTCTGGGTTTTGGTTTTATGTGACAGGGTTTCTCTGTGTAACCTTGGCTGTCCTGTAACTCTCTCTGTGGATCAGGCTGGCCTGGAACTCAGAGATCCCCCTGCCTCTGCCTCTGCCTCCTGAGTGTGCTATGGGATGTCTTTCTATACGCTGTGAATATGTATTTCTCTGATTGGTTGATAAATAAAGCTGTATTGGCCTATGGCAGGGCAGGAATATATTAGGTGGTACGGTTAGACTGAAGAAGAGATGAAGAAGGGTAGAGTTGGAGGAGACACCAGCCTGCTGCCCAAGGAACAACAAGATGCCAGCAGACCAGTAATGTCACAACCATGTGGCAACATATAGATTAATAGAAATGGGTTGAGTTATGTTATAAGAGCTAGTGAGAAGCCTATGCCATTAGGCCATACAGTTTGTAAGTAATAGAAGCCTCTCTGTGTTTACTTGGGTCCAAGCAGCTGTGGGACTGGGTAGGACACATTTGTAACCTCAGCATTTGAGAGGTGGAAGCAGGAAGATGAAATGTTCAAGGTCATCCTCAGATAGCATAGACATTCAAGGCCAGCCTAGACTGTTCGAGTGAGACCCTGTCTCAAAATAAACAAAAAAAGTGGAGGGAGGGGAAAAAAGAAAATAAATGTTGCAGAATATTATTTTAAGATGTGTTACATTAGCATCTTAGATGCAAGCTTGTAAAACATCGATAG